TGAAATTCCTAACGAAGACTGGAATGGCCCCCTCTGGCTTATTAGCAGTCATCTGCCAACGACTACAGAGCACCCATAAAGGACTAGGCCCACAAATTCACACCATGCGATGATAAGCCCGTCAGCCGAGAAACATGTGATAAGCATAGATTCCATAAAGAAATTTGTTCAAGGGCGATAGTCAAGTTCCTTTGTCTACATCAAACCAACTGTTGGTCAACTCGTTGCTCAAGAAGGTCGAGTTCAAGGTCGGGTGTGGCCGGCTGACGGCGGCCAATAAGCCAGAAATGGCCATTCAAGCCTCCCTTGTCTTTACTGGCAATGTTATCTGCAGCCGTAGAGCTGCTGATGGGCTCGAGAATGAACCCCAAAGCAGAGCTGGACGAGTGAGTTTCGTTAGCGATTGGTGAACGTTCATCAATGAATGTGTCAATATCGCCCGATCTAAACCGCAAGACGAGTCCATGGCTCAATGTTTAGAGCCTAAGACTTCTGATCAGGAGGTCGCCAGTTCGAGCCCCGTATGGTGCACCACTTGGGATTGGGTATAACTAGCTGGCGACGGCTAATGAGACAGAAGTGGCCATTTTAGTTTTCCTTGTCTTTGCCGGCAATGCTATCTGCTTGCTTAACTAGGAGGATGAAGGACCTGCGAAATCGAATGTTCGACTCCTGATCACCCTAAACTCCCACTCTGAACCGCCAAAGACACTAGCCCAGGCCATTGTGATTGTCATGTGATCTGAGCAATGTCGAATACAGTACAGAGGGTTATGCCGTCCAGCAAAAAGGTCGCTTCATCGAGGGCCAATACGTAAATCACACGATATTTCAGTGTTACTGGTGCCGAAACAAAATTACAACTACAGTCGCAGAAGCTAACTCGGTAAACGAGAAGGACTGAGGCTGCGACAGTTTCAGACTTGCTTGTTGCCCTCCTCGGTCAGCCCGCTACGTATAAGACACGCATAATCCTGTGGTGAAAAAATTAAAAGTATCAAAGAAGCTGGACACAACTCTTGCATTCTCGCCGGTGCAAACTACACTCTAGTTAACCTACGAATGATCGCGCATCCATTTGATTTCGTCTCAAGACAACGTAGACCCGCTCATTGGGGGCTGGAGTTAAGAGCCGACTGCCACCAGGGCAATGAAGAAAACGGAACCAGATGCTGATCGAAGGGGGCAAGCAAGCATGCCTCTTGGATTTGGTCGATATACCTTTCCGTCAGCCAACGACAATGCAACGGTCGGTGTTACAGCAACTGAATTCACAGGAGGCCCATTTCTAACTACACGAAGAAGCATTCACAACGCTATCGCGACGCTCACCAAGAGAACCATGCTGCTGAAACATACCGCACATTAGACAGTTTCTGGTGAAAAGAAAGGTAGCTTAATAACTTGTTGAATAGGATGTACAGTTTAATAATGCGATGAGATTGAAGAGAGAGGCTATACAAGGATATATATATTCCTGAGTGAATATATATATGTATATATACGGAGAAAAGATAACCTTGGAACAAATACAGAGCCCAATATATACTCGAAAAAGAATCTGAAATTAAGTTTATGTACATAGAAGTAGAAAATATCCGAGTAATAGTAGGGAGACTGGAAGTAAAGAGAAGAATTATTTCGAAGTAACTGTTGTTCTTTGTAAAAGGTGCAGGGTAAAAAATATCAACACCCGATGTTGGTAGAGTACACTGTGACGCGTCAGATCGGACTGTACAGGTGGGGAGAGGGGAGAGACCAGGGAGGCGGCGGCCGCGGCGGCAGAAATAATCTTAAAATATTACAAATGTGGAAAT